CCCCAGTACATAGTTGTGTATAATTGTAAGTTCTTCTGGTTCTTTTATGTGAGCTGCTGCCACAGCATGGCTACTGACAGACAAGTGTGGTTCCGTGCCCAGGAACCGAACCTGGGCCACCAAACTGGAGTGCGCTGAACTTGAACCATTAGGCCATTAGGACTGGCTCTCTAATACTATTTTAACTGTTCCAGAACATAGAAAAAGAAGAAAAGCTTCAAGATTCATTTTATGAAGCCAGCATAACATTGATACCAAAACCCTAGAAATTATCAAGAAAAGAAACCTGTAGACCAATCCTATTTATTGATGCCAAAAGAATAAATAAATATTAACAAACAAGATTCAGTAACACATTGAAGGAATAATGCAAAATGACCAAGTGGAGTTTGTTTGCAGAATGGAAGGAAGACTGGTTCTTATTAGGAAATATCAGTATAAGTCACCGCATTCATAGGTCATCATCTCTGAACATGCTAAAATTTGATAAAATTCAACACCTGTTCTTGATCCAGTTCTGTAATAAAACCAATAGATGGTTATGTCTCTAACATGATAAAATGTATGAATCTCATTCTGAGGGCCAATATTATCCTTATAGGGAAATTCTAAAAGCATGCCTCTTAGGTCAGGAACAAGGTGATGCTTTCCTTCATTACTGTTGTTGTCTAACAATGCCTTGGAGGGACTAGCGAACACAGATGAGAGAAGGAAAGAAGAATTATGCAATTTGGAAAAGAAGGTTAAATTATCAATAAAGATAAAATGATTGTTTAATTGGTTTCAGAACTAACCAAAAAACAATTAGAATCACTAAGTAAATTTGGTAAGGCAATTGAATGCAAAATTAATAAACACAAATCAATAGCCTGCTCATAAACAACTAGTTAGAAAACATAACCAAAGGGAAAAATCCCATTGATGATAGCAGCAAAAAAGATAAAATAACTAGGATTAAACAAAAATAGTGCAAGAATTTATTAAGAAATTTTATAGCCTATTAAGAAATTTTATATCTATAAAATTTATAGAATTTATAAATTCTATAAATTTTATAGATATAAAATTTCTTAATAGGCTATAAAATTTCTTAATAAATTCTTGCACTATTTTTGTTTAATCCTAGTTATTTTATCTTTTTTGCTGCTATCATCAATGGGATTTTTCCCTTTGGTTATGTTTTCTAACTAGTTGTTTATGAGCAGGCTATTGATTTGTGTTTATTAATTTTGCATTCAATTGCCTTACCAAATTTACTTAGTGATTCTAATTGTTTTTTGGTTAGTTCTGAAACCAATTAAACAATCATTTTATCTTTATTGATAATTTAACCTTCTTTTCCAAATTGCATAATTCTTCTTTCCTTCTCTCATCTGTGTTCGCTAGTCCCTCCAAGGCATTGTTAGACAACAACAGTAATGAAGGAAAGCATCACCTTGTTCCTGACCTAAGAGGCATGCTTTTAGAATTTCCCTATAAGGATAATATTGGCCCTCAGAATGAGATTCATACATTTTATCATGTTAGAGACATAACCATCTATTGGTTTTATTACAGAACTGGATCAAGAACAGGTGTTGAATTTTATCAAATTTTAGCATGTTCAGAGATGATGACCTATGAATGCGGTGACTTATACTGATATTTCCTAATAAGAACCAGTCTTCCTTCCATTCTGCAAACAAACTCCACTTGGTCATTTTGCATTATTCCTTCAATGTGTTACTGAATCTTGTTTGTTAATATTTATTTATTCTTTTGGCATCAATAAATAGGATTGGTCTACAGGTTTCTTTTCTTGATAATTTCTAGGGTTTTGGTATCAATGTTATGCTGGCTTCATAAAATGAATCTTGAAGCTTTTCTTCTTTTTCTATGTTCTGGAACAGTTAAAATAGTATTAGAGAGCCAGTCCTAATGGCCTAATGGTTCAAGTTCAGCGCACTCCAGTTTGGTGGCCCAGGTTCGGTTCCTGGGCACGGAACCACACTTGTCTGTCAGTAGCCATGCTGTGGCAGCAGCTCACATAAAAGAACCAGAAGAACTTACAATTATACACAACTATGTACTGGGGCTTTAGGGGGAAGAAAGAAGAAGAAAAAAATAAACAAAGAAGGAAAAATAGTATTAGAGTTATCTAACTCCTTAAAGGTTTTATAGAATTTCTCTATGAAACCACTGGGGTCTGGTATTGTTGTTATTGGTGGATGTGGGATGGGAACCTCCCTCTTCAACTTTCTGTATTTTATCTTTGCTCCATTTAGATTTTCTATCGCTTCAGTGGTCAATTTTGGTAATTAATTTTTTTGTAGAAAATCATCTATTTCATATAGATTCTCACATTTGTTTCTTTTGTCTGTGGCTATTCCCCCACTTCTACCAAAAAATTAACTCTCTGATTTATTTAATAGTTTTATTGCTTCTGTTCCTAATTTAAGAGCTAGTGCAATGGTTTATAAACTGTATTCTGCCACTGGGGCTGAGCAAAAGGCCAGGCTGGGAAATCTCTGAGCCTCTCTATTCCTTTCATCAGAGCAGCTTCACTTTTTTTCTACTTTATATGTGAAATTTTCATATAAGATGTCACTGGAAAGAAAAAGACCAACTGATGAAACAATATAAAAGTTTGAAAATCAACTAATTCATGTTTACATACATTCTTGAAATACTTTCTTAACATTCTGATTCATAGATTTCTACTAGTAGTAAAGAATATAAAATTCTTCACTAAAAGAATTTAGTAAATTCTTTACTAAAAAGGCTTAGAATCAACTCTAGTCTTGAGTTTCTTTCAGTTTTACTTATTATTAGCAAGGATCAATAAAAGAATATCCCTATTGATAATATTAACTAGTCTTCTATATACCAAGTATGACCTAATATGGAAACAACTACAATTTAAGAGCAATCCATCAACAAAGTACATTGCTTTAAGTGACAGTTTTATAGAGCCCAAATAGAGTTAATTTCTGAAATACAGACCAAATATTTCACCACTTACCCCAAGTAAATGAATGAGAAAAAGAACAGCAACAATAGAGATGAAATAATAAGCCAGGCATGGATGACCTAGAAAAGAGTTTCAATATAATTAACAGATGCCATAATGCTAAAAAAAATGCAAATGTCTTACTTCAAAAATTTATTTCTATATATGCTTATGCTTTTCAAATGGCAGAACATAAATAGCTTCAGGATCAGTACGTACTTATAAAAAAACTCTTTGGTCCTGAACAACTCATAATACAAAATAGAAATTTCAGCAAGACATATAGATCCTCGTTCCTTTAGAGATAGGTGAAATTTTAAAAAGAAAAGAATGCATTCTAAAATATCAAATTATCAACACATTCAACACTTGACATTTAAATTTTAAAGCTGTAATATTTTTGGGGGCCCGGCCCAGTGGTGCAAGCGGTTAAGCGCGCGCGCTAAACTGCGGCGGCCCGGGGTTCGCTGGTTCGGATCCCAGGCGCGCACCAACGCACTGCTTGGCAAGCCATGCTGTGGTGGCGTCCCAGATAAAGTGGAGGAAGATGGGCACGGATGTTAGCCCAGGGCCAGTCTTCCTCAGCAAAAAAAAGAGGAGGATTGGCAGATGTTAGCACAGGGCTGATCTCCTCACAAAATAAATAAATAAAGTAGTAATATTTTCAATGGAGGAATTTTGTAGTATTTCTGAAATAAACAATAAATTGAATAAAATAATAAAATAAAATTCAATAAAACCAAAAATCAGATATTCATTTAAGTGACCTCTGCAGACATACGTTAACTGTACATAGAAAACAGGCCTTCTACATTATATAACCATCTGACAAAAGACTATTCAGAACCTGAAGTTTCAATAAGTATTGTGATGCTATGTTTATTTTACATGGTTCATTAATAAATATTAATATTACAAATTCTTTGAAACACTTATAAGTCAGTCCATCATTATCATGCAGAATTCATACAGCACTATATAAATATTAGTCCCTATTATTCATGTACAGCTTTTTAATATGAGAGAGAGAATCAGAATTTTGTAACTTTTATACTCTATTACACAAGACAAAAATTTTAAATGGTAATGGGTATATTTGAGAAAATACTATACAACCGAAGGAGTCTAGGGTTTTTAAAAACAGCATGGAGAAGCACGATAAATTGTCAAGTAATTTCTAACCAAAAGTGAAATTATTTTGAGGTGGATATACCCATTTCATGCTTTAATCTTTCAATAAACTTTATTGTTTAATGACAGAGGAGCTACTTAACCAACAACTTTTCCAAATATTATCTCTTAACCAGAACAGACCAAATCAAATCTTGAAGAAAGGAGAGAAAAGAAAACATCCAAATCAAGAATATTATTTTGTCTTCATTTTTTAAAAAATCTCTCACGCCCACCTCCCATATCCAGCTGTTACTATAATGAGGCTCTAAGCTATCGAAATCTAGCTATGATTAGAATCTACGTTAATTTTCTCTTGCTGTTCTGTTTTGATCACCCAAGGTGATCTGTGATTGTTAATTCCTTCGAAAGAAAAGATTTCTTAAAAGTTCTGGCTGCCTCTCTTTAAAACAACTTTATAAAACGGTACAATTTGGAAAAAGGTCAAAAGAGTGGCTTTACATGGAAGTTGGTATTCCTTGACATTTGAATATTCTAAATTGACTATCCAAATACAACAAATTTAATTTCTGGTGTTCTTCTACAAAAATTTTTCCCTAACATTTTACCTTGAGGGTATTATGCTAAGCGAAATAAGCCAGAGAAAGACACATACCATATGATTTCACTCATATGTGGAAGATAAACATATGGATAAGGAGAACAGATTAGTGGTTACCAGAGGGTAAGGGGGTGGGGGGAGGGCCAAAGGGGCACATATGTATGATCACGGATGAAAACTAGACTATTGGTAGTGAACAAAATGCAGTCTATATAGAAACTGATATATAATATCAGTTATTATCAGATAATATCTGATATTATCTGATATATCAGATATATCAGATATATCAGATAATATATATATATTATATATATTATATATATCAGATAATATATATATCAGATATATTATCAGATATATCAGATAATATCAGATAATATATCACCTGAAATTCACACAATGTTATAAGCCAATATGACCTCAATAATTAAAAAAATTTTTTCCCCTAACATTTTATCTTAACAATTTTCAAACACACAGCAAAGTTTAAAGAATTTTACAGTGAACACCCACATACCGCCTAAATTCTACCATTCACATTTCGCTGTACTTGCTTTGTAACATTTCTAGCCATCTCTCCATCTATCGGTCCATTTTATTTTTAATACATATCAAAGTAAACCGAAGACAGTTGCACATTTTCCTCTAAATACTTCAACTTTCGCAAAGTATTCAACTTTAGCAAAATATTCTAAAGGGAGCTTTTACTCTATTTCATCTTCAAAAAAACCAATAAAGCTTAAGCAGAAAGGAATCTCCCCACCTGCATCCCGCCTCATCATGCTCACAAGTCTCAGCTTTAGAAATAATCCAAGTTACAAAACTAAAAAGTATATAAAATATTACAAAACAGAAAGGCTTTAAAAGGGTGTGAGATGTACATTGGTATTCCATATTAGGCTTCAAATTAAGTGCCAGAGTAAATATCAAATACTAGCAAGTCTCATCTTTCACTTGAGAAATGCTTTTTACCTTGTATTTTTGGCAAGGGAACATGGGGATGTTATTTATATGAAACACTAAAAGAAAATTCCCACTGACCAATAACAACCAAAGTTGGTATTAACATTTTCTTTTCAGACATGGTTTCTGTCTGCATCTGTAAAGATCTTTTAACAAAATTAGAATCAGGTAATATACAGTTTTACACTCTACTTTTTAAAACAATTTTTATTACAGACATACTTTTATGCCACCAAATATTTTTGAAAATATGATTTTTAAGTGACTAAATAATAAGATTCTACTTTTATGGATGCACACACAATTTAACCTTTCCTTTATGCATGAAATTTGTGGTGTTTTCCTTTTTTTCAATTATAATGTATGCTAGGAAGAACATCCTAGTATGCAAGTATTTTTCTACATTTCTAATTCTTTCTTTGGGATAAATCATGAAAGCAAAACTACAGAATCAAAGTGTAGAGACTTGTGGGCCGGCCCTGTGGCTTAGCGGTTGAGTGCGCGAGCTCCGCTACTGGCGGCCCGGGGTTTGGATCCCGGGCGCGCACGGAAGCACCACTTCTCCGGCCATGCTGAGGCCATGTCTCACATACAGCAACTAGAAGGATGTGTAACTGTGACATACAACTATCTGCTGGGGCTTTGGGGGAAAAAAAATAAATAAATAAAATTAAAAAAAAAAAAAGTGTAGAGACTTGTTCTAGTTACTGACTATTGATATATATTGGCTTAGTGACGTCACAAAAAAGGCTGAATTAATCCTTACTAAGTCAAAAGGTGAAATAGGTTGTTATTTTAATATTTCTTTTTTTTGCTAGTGAGGAAATATATATACACATTTCTCTCTCTCTCTCTCTCTCTCCCTCTCCTGGTCATCTATATTTCCTCCATAATTTCTCTGCTTGGGTTTTTAAAATTTCTTATTAGGATGTTCAAAATTTTCTTAATGATTTGTAAATGCTCTTCATATTATAAAACTATTAGCCTCCTGCCTGTAATAATGGTTGTAAATAGTTTTTCTATTTAGTCATTGATGTTACGATTTTCTGAATTATTACCTGAATTCAAAGCCTCTTCTGATGATGACTAAATAGCACCGCCCCTTTTTCTAGAACATTGGGTGGTTAAATTGGCCTTTCTCATCTTGCAAAAATCCCTAGTTCAGCTTTCCTGTGCTAAAGGCTCTGAAAGCAAAGAGGCCTGCTTCAGCACAGAGTAGCAAGTATCTCCTCTACACCCTGAACTAGCCAGGCCAGAAATCACATGATTTAATAAGTTATATAGTTTCATCTATAACAAATGATTTGTAATAATTAACCGCCTTTTCTGTTTCTACCTTTTTAAGGTTTGTTTGGTCTTTTAGCTTCTTGTGTTTCTCATAGACATTGCACAACCTACCACTGACATAACAAATCCTCAGGGCTTATTTCCAAACAGGTGCTGGCAAGTTTCTGAATTTCTGACTCAAAAGCTCCTTTTATTTTATACTAGAGGTCAAAGTAAACAACTTGTTTCTATAGAATTGGCTGTGCTTGCTAAGACTTGAACATTAAAAAGCAAAACAACACAACACAAATGAACAGGTAAATGTGGAAATCTGCTGAATATAAACCTTCTAGACCCTCTAAAATGAAGCATAACTAAAAGATGCATAAAACTGACCAAAATATATCAAGATAGGTTCTAGGTAACATGGAGCAAAAGCACATTCCACCCTGTCTCTCCCACCGAATCCAACTGTAAAACCAGGAGAGAATGCACACAGCTGCTGGTTGAGGACTCTAAAGAGTAAACAGAGGCAGGTGCACTGGGGAGTTGGAAGTACCAGGGAACCAGCAGGGAGTTTACCATTTTCTTCCCTCTAATACTACCCTCCACCTGAAGCTAACACAACTGAGTGGTCATCAGCAAGACAAAGAGAGCTCCAGGAGAATCTCTAGATCTGGCTAGAGGAGCAGGAAAGAGGTCTTCTCACACCGTAAGAGAATGCAAAAATCCCAGTTTTTGTTTTTTCCTTTTCTCCACTCTCTCACGCCCCGCCTCCAAACAACCATGTGGCGTTGGCAAGGAGGACGGCAGGAGCCTATAAAATTCAGGAGGGGAAGCTTGCTCTCAATTGGAAGAGCCGTAGTTCCCAAAGAGAAGGGCAAATAGCCCTTGCTTTATTTCTCTCTCTGTCCTCCCACCTTAAGCCCTGACACTGGGAAAATAAAGCCCAGCTTTCTGGCTGGAGGAATGGAACAGGGAAGTCCAAAAGCACCCAAAGTAGCAGAGAGACCACAGAAAGGAGGAAGCTCAGGAAAGCAAACTTTCACAGCTGTTGTAAACTTGTGGGCCCATCCCCAAGGTGCAGAGGTGTGGATATGACCCTAAGCAGCATACAAAGACTCCCAATAAAATGTGAAGAACACAAGTAGCACATAATCTAGATAAAAGTCACAAAGTGAGTCCAATAAAGCAGAGAAATGGAACAGGCAGGTAAACACATGCAGACAAAATATATATGGTGAAAAAAAGTATAAAGAAAAGTAATTAAGACATGAGCATATTTAAACAGGAGAGGAGAATGGTTCCCAGCATGGGTTTACATCATTTGATCTTTAGCTTTCCGACTGTTGATGACTACTTGTGATTATCATATACCCCTTTTGTCTTCAACCTTCTCTATATGCCAATGTCAGACTGCAGATGGTCATCACTTAGATTAACATTTTTACCCACACACATGTTCAACAAGCAAGGTTAAACTCCCTATAATTTTAGAGTTTGTGAACATTGAAAAGGTATTCGATCTTACTAGTAATCAACTAAATGCAAATTAAGACATTTTGTTTTGCCTATAAAAATGAGCAGATATTTTTTAAAAATTCAATGCTGGTGAAGGTAGGGTAAGACAGTCTCATTCACTACCAGTGTTAAGTACAAACTATCATTTTGAAAAAGTAATTTTGCATACCAAGACAGTTAAAAATACGTAGGTAATTTGTCCCAGAAATTCTGAGTCTAGGATTTTACCCTAAGGAAATAATTTGAAAAACTGAAAAAGCTCTGTGCATAAAGACATTCATTGTTTTTCAGAATAAGGAAAAACTGGAAACATCTTAAATGTCCAATATCAGAGAAATTAGGGGAAGTAAATCACAATACACTCATTGAGGCTAACCAGCCCTGATGATTAGTGGTTAAAATTGAGTGTTCTCACTCCTGCAGCCCGGGTTCGTTTCCTGGACAGGAAACCACACCACCCCTCTGTCAGCTGTCATACTGTGGTGGCTGCATGTTGCTGTGAGGCTGAAAGCTATGCCTCCAGTATTTCAAATACCAGCAGGGTCACCCATGGTGGACAGGTTTCAGCAGAGCTTCCAGACTGAGACAGACTAGGAGGAAGGACCTGGCCACCCACTTGTGAAAAAATTGGCCATGAAAACCCTGTGAATAGCAGCACAGCACTGCCTGATACAGCACCAGAAGGTGAGAGGATGGCACAAAAAGACCAGGCGGGGTTCGCTCTGCTGTACACAGGGTCACAAGGAGTCGAAATCAACTCAATGGCACCAACAACATTGAGTCAAATATTATGTAGCCATTAGACATATTTTCTAAGAATTTATAATACGAAAAAAGGCTTACACCAAAGTAAAAGTTAAGAAAGGACACATAGTGATTATATTTAACCATGTTAAAAAATATACGGAAATAAATACTAGAAGAAAATAGAGTAGACTTCAATATTTGGAAAATTAATATTTATTTCCTTTATTTGAGAATGATCCTAAAGGTTCATGACTTATAATAATTTGTCATTTTTCTGAGGCATGAATCTGAAACATGTGCCAGCTGGCTGAAATTCAGGAGTGAGTCACTTAGCTAGAGAGTGAGCTAGGGGAGGCAGAGGCTTGGAGGGCTGGGCCTGTGTCTTTCCTACATAACCTCCTCTGCCCTTATTTCCCAAGGAAAGAAATAATGCTCCTACAGGAGAGATGGTGAGGGAATGGATGGCTACCAATTTAGAAGCAGAAATATAGCCAGTCACCAATGAGTTTAACACCAGCATCTGAAGGTAGCTTTATTGCTCTCTACTTAAGTACGAAAATCTGAATTTTTTTAGTTAGACATTATTTTATGGAGATAATTATATCCTATAGTGCTATTTGTGAATGAACGAATTCACAAAGGTCTTAGGGCATATCCTTCTAGAAAGTCATTAGTACATAGCAAATCAAAATGTTAAAACCATTTAGATAGTGATATTATATGAAAACATCTGCTTTCCATTTATGCCTTTTTGTATTTTTTAAATGCTTGGCAATGAGAGGCAAAAAACTAAAATTTAACTTAGTTCCAGAATATAACACCTTTTTTTTTTTTTTTTAACTAAACCAGGTAAGGTGACAGGAAAACCTAATCATAAAAAGAACATGGTAAAAAGCAAAGCTGTGTCTCATGCTCACCTTATAGCACCTGTATTTGTAGAGAACCACCAAAAGAATAGTCATGACAACAATGACGCTGATCATGATAGCAGCATTCAGAATTGAGTGCAGCGCTCTCTGCCCCACAGTCTCAGTGTCTTCTGTGAATGGGGTATAGATTCTAAAATAAAACAAAACACAAAAGCCCAGGTAAATGTTAATGGATATCCTAAACCACCTATCCCCTCCAACACTAGACTTTTGTTTCCTTGATTCAATTGCTATCTTATAAGTCACTTTTTTCCATCTCATCAATATAGCCAAGAATTCTTAACCTAAAAAAAAATAGCTATACTCTAAAATAAGTGCTTCAACATAAAAGAAGATATCTAAAACATGGAGAGGTGGACTTTCGTGAGCCAGACACTGGCTCCATCTAGTGGATGCTTTATATTGAAATAATTACCTCATCAAATGTTCTTTCTCCACAGCTTATTAGTGATTTGTTAAAGAATTGGATTCTGCCACATAAACTACCTAGGCTACAAGTGGCTGTCAGAGGAAAGTAATACGGCTTACAATTATCATCTTTCATCTGTAGGGTGACTGCAACTGGAGTTGTCTTGGGATAATGTCACACATCCATTTTTCCCTTGTTTCTCATTCACAGAAAAACAATTTTACTGCAGGTGCCAACGTTCCCAGCTAAAAGACTTTATTTCTAACTCCTTTATAGTTAGGTGTGGCCTTGAGACTAAATAATGGCCAATAAGTTATAAGCAGAAGTGTTGTGTGAAACTTCTAAGAAAGGAGTTAATTCTGCTGAGAGATATGTCTTATGCCCTTTTCTCCTCCACTACTTCCTGCTTCCTGCTGTCTGAAAGCCTGGGGCTCCAGCACCGATACCGGTTCATGAAATAACCTAGAGAAGCCAAAGAAGCCAAAGAAGAAGGAAAGAAGGAGCCTGATGAACGTGAAGCCACTATACTAATTTGGACTGACTACCTGAGCACTACTCTGTGGGAGAGAGAAAATATGTGTATCATTTTAACCAGTTGTCTTGATTTTCTATAATGGGGTCAGCAAACTTTCTGTAAAGGACTAGAGAGTAAATATTTTAAGCTTTGTGGGTCATATGGTCTCTGTTGCAACCACTCAACTCTGCCATTGTAGTATGAAAGCAGCCATAGACAATATATAAACGAATGGACATGGTTGTGTTCCAATAAAACTTTATTTATAAAAACAGATGGTAGGCAGATCTGGCCCGGGGGTATAGCTTGCTAACCCATTCTATAAAATGTAGCCAAACCTAACTCCAACTTATACAGATAATATCCCCCAATCTCTTTTGCTATTGTCTCCAAATCCTGTCCTTCACTCACCGTCTTAGCCTTTCTCCGAGAAGGTTAAAAGCTTGGCTTTCAGAAACTCACACAGTTTTTCAGACACTTGCCAATTTCAAATCCCAAAGTTCACTTAAAACTTTTTTGAGCCCCATGAGAATCCTACAGACAGAACTAGGTGACATCTGAATCAAAGCATTTTTCTTAGAGGCTAAGGGCTGACACCAACAACAGAGAATCTACACGACAGTTCCCCAAGAGTCCAGTGTGTGCCAGCTTACATTATTCTTCATCTTTCCATTTAACAACTTTTTTTGCTGAGCATTTATTACAGAACTTGCCCTGGAAACAAAGTGCCCTCATAGGCCTTATGGCATAGAAGGAAATCAGGTATTAAATAATGTAAATATATATTTGCATATTGTGACAAGTGAAAAAAGAACAGGTTGCTATGAGAAAGAATAACAGGATGGACCTAATTCTGTTAGGAGATCAGGGAAGTCAGCCTTGAGGACTTAACATTTAAGCCAAGATGAGAAGGATGATAGGAATTAATCTACCAAAGTTAGAAAAGGAGAGAACGTTCCAGGCAGAAGAACAGGCTCAATGGCCCTGAAGTGGGAAAGATAACTACTCAACTCTTAACTTGCTCAATTCCAAACAAATTCAGCCCTATCTAGTGACACCATACAGGAAACAGAATTCTGCAGCTTTCATTTTCTCTACATAAAGCATCAAATAATAAATAACCCCTCACTCTCTCAACTGGTCCGGCCATCAAGAGAGGATGGACTCTCTAGCCTTCCTGCCCCTTCAATGCAGAGGCCCTCGGGTGATGTGACATGCAATGAAGAAAAGCTATACCAGCCTTGAGAACAATAAAACAAAACACATACGTACAGCTGTCCATCCTTCCGGGTATAAAAGCTGACTGATTTGATGGTAGCCACAACCACCACCATACAGAGAGTCACTGGCACAAAGAGCATGATCACATGTTTGGCGCCATATTTCAATGTCAGCTCCTCATCTTCTTCTTCATCTTGTTCCACCACCTGCTGCGAGTTACCCTGGGGTCGTCCATTAGATAATGGCTCAGGGTTGCCACGCCTCCGCCTTTCGCTGCTGTGCTCATGCCGTTCTCTGTTGTCATTCTAAAAGCACAAGAGAAATTTTTTCAATAAGTTAGACTCTCAGTAGAATCAGGGTATTCTATATTAAAAACAGAAAATGTAACAATCAGACCTGAGATTAACAATAGGCCCATCATTACTTGAGTTCTAAAAACTTGAGGCAAGAAAGAACAAAGTATGCAGTTTAAAAGTCTAGATTATTCACCATTGTTCACTGAAGGAACCCAGGTCCTCCCTTTCACCTGGCTCTTGGCTTACCTCATTTCCTCCTTTCATTCTCAACCTAATACAATTATACTTATCTTTTTGAGTTTTAGCTTAAAAACTGACACCTGCATGAAACCTTCGTTATTTGCTGCAGCTGCAAGCAGAGTAATCTCACCTTGTTCAAAATCATGATGTGCCTTCTACCTGTGGTTTTGTACCAATTATACAAGGAACTATCTCACCTTCATTACTAATAAGACTTAAAATCCTTGTAGTGATGTACAAGGGATCTCCCTGTATCATTTCTTACAATTGCATGTAAATCTACAATGATCTCAAAAAGAGTATTCAACTAAAGAAAACCTTTACAGAGAGAAACTAGGCCTCAAACAATTCTGGTTTGTTTGGTCCCCCCCACCCCCATTCCCACTTTGCCCTGTACAGTGTAAGGAAACAATAAATACTTGATGAATGATGGAACGAAATTAGAACTTACTTAGAGCCTAGTTTCCTCAGACTCTTAATCCAAATACCACTTTGCTACCTTTATGCTCATCCTGGGTTTATCATTTCCTATTCTTCAAGTTCAACTTCCTTTTTGGTATCACTGCTCATATCTAACACTTAGTTTTTGTAAAGGGAAGAATGAATCCCAAGAGCACTAACAACAACAACAATAAGAAAAATAAGAGGTAACAGGAGAAAAATAATAGGCACTCCTCCTCCTCACAAATAAGAAATAGAATGAGATGAAAGCAGATTGATAGTCACTGTTGCTGATAAGATATAATCAGCTTGGTTAGGAAGAGTTCCTCTTAGGAAGATGATGTGAGAACAAGCTACTCTTGTACCTTATTTCTCACTGCAGAGTATAACTAAGTCTTACTATAGAATATTACTATTATTAATTTAAAATATATCACATACTTAATAATAGCTTTAAATTATTATAATACACCAGGGATTGTGATATCTGCTTTGCATTTAATTCTCACAGCCACCCCATCATCACCACTTTACAGGTAAGGAAACAGCCATAGCTAGTAAGTATTACAAACAGGGTTTGAACCCAGGTGTGCCTAATTACAGAAATCGACTTTTCAGCCACCTCTCAACCTGCCATTCACAAGACAAGATGGGAGCTCTGCAGACTCAGTGTGTGCTGAGTTCTCTTTTACTTTACTTTCAAGATATTCATCCCACAAATAATTATCAAATTCTATATTCCGGGCACTCTGCTGTGGCAATATTGAAATTAATAAGGTCTAGAGCCTGTGCTTAAAAAGTTCATAATTAGGTTTAATATAGGATAAATATAAGAGATATGACAAAAGTGCTATAAGACTGATTAATTCGGTGTGGTCAAGAAAGGCAACATAAAAGATATGATTCTTGAGCAGAACCTTCAAGAGTGAGTGGAAGGTGAATGGGCTCCAGGCAGAGAGAACATGAACAGCAGAGGCACAGAGGTGTGCAAGTGAAGACCAAGGCCTATGCAGAAAACCAGCAAGTACTCCTGAGGTGTCTGGAGAACAGGGTCTGTCAGGGCTGGTGCCAGGAAAAGAAGGTTAGGAACAGTTGTCAAGAGCCTTGTTTGCCATGTCAAGGACTTTAGACTGTCCAGAAGGCAATAGAAAGTCATAAAAACTGTTAAGGTTGAGGAAGTAACACATCAGATTATGTTTCATTTTTAAGAAACTTGACTGAGTGGCAACGGAAAACAGGAGATGTATAAGAAAGATATTTCAGAACTGACAGGGCTTTGTGGCAAATTACATGTGAATGGTCAGGAAAGAATCAAGGATGACTCTGGAGGTTTCTAGCATAAGGGACTAGGAAGGTGGTGATGGCATCGATACAGATAGGGAACACAAGATGAGCAGGCTGGAGGAGAGGAGAGATATTTTAGTTAGGGAGATAGGTGAATTTGAAGTACCTGAAACCAGATAGGAAAGGCTAAAGGCAGTTAATAATTTCAAACTCAGAAGAGAGTTGGGGGAAGTCATTAGTTTCTATAGCTATGGAAATAGATGAAATCTCAGGGAGAGAGTAGAGATGGGAAGCAGAAATCGTATGGACTTGTTGGTCATTAGTGGAATTCAACAACTCTAGAAGGAAAAATACAGAGTGAGATGACAACCAAGGAGAGAAGTCCGAATAACCCCTAAGCTTAAGCAGTAGGTGACAGGAGAAAACCCAGCAAAAGAGATTAAGAGAATAGGGGAGAGGGAAGAAAACCCAGGAACCAATATATCACAGAAGCCAGAGGAGGAGCATATTTCAAAGAGGTGTCATCAACATGCAGGATAAGAGCTGAAAAGCCACTGATTTGGCAGTGGGAAGTTCACCAACATCTTTACAAAAGTAAAACAGTTACGAAGGAGGTCAGATCATAAATCACAATGGACTGGGGAATGAATGGAAATTGAGAAATTAAAGGCAATAATTCTTTGAAGCCAAAAAAAAAAAAAAAAAGATATGACAACAGAAGGGATTCAAACTTGAAAAAGTTATTTTAGGGATGTTAGAGACTTGAGCATACTTGTCAGGTCAAAGTATAGAGTTAGGATTAGAGGAAGAGATTGATGACACAAGACAGGGAGATGATAACTAACAGAACAGGGTAGGGGAGAAATGGAGGGGAATGAGAGAAGAGTTGGCCTTACAAAGGCACTGGCGCCTTCTATCTCAGTCTGGAGGTCAGGAAGTAACTCTGACCTCACAGAGAAAATATTTATGAAGACTCACACCCCATGAGGAGTGGAAAGGAAACTACTGCAAAGCACAAAAGGTAGAAATATATACAGCACTCACCAACAAAGATAAGTTTTGCTGAATACAAATCACTACAGTGGCCAAAGTCCAGTAGGAAGGAAATGGGTATGAGGAAGGTGGGATCTGGAGGACAGGGACACAGTGTGATAGCTGAAGAGCAGGAGAGTGGGGGAACTCATACTTCTATTTTCTTAGAAGGAGGTGACTAAGCCATGCACTAAGAATGTTATGTTTGTGACTAATGTTCAGCAATACAATTATGACCAATTTGATGGGTTGATTAATGTTCAACATAAACTAAAATACAAGTAATAACAGCTCTTGATATAGTATTTGATAATTTACAAAGCACTCTCACATGATCTCATTTATTCTTTTCATATGTTGGGAGGTTTTGGTAAACGAACACTAAAGCAACTTGTCTAATATCTCACAGCCGGAAAACAGCAGAGGCAGGAATCAAATTTAAGTCTCTTGCTTCAAAACCCGTGTTCTTTCCACGGCACCACAGCTGTCATATTAGGCTCCATGAACAGTTTAACTGGGTAAGTCTAGCATGAAAGAGGCAATCGTAATATGCTTACTCACAGTACTCAACTGGATGTTCTGGTCTACAATGAACATTAGCCAAGTCCATCCTGCCCCACCCCCAAAGCTGATATATGGGATACTAGAGCACTGTTTAACACACACACACACACGCACACACACACGCACGCACACATGCACCCTTTTATAGTACTTTGGATACTATTTTTAAAACTGATTATACGTTTTAATCATTTTTTAAAATACAATTTATTTATTTAAACAGGTAAAAACATTTACATGGTTCTAAAGTCAAAGAGTATAAAAAGATGTAGAGTAAAAAATCTCCCACTTCACTATCTACTTAGGTTCCTGATCTCCCAGGTTACCACTGCCCTTGTTCTCTGCAAACCCTTTCAAAGTTTCTTTAGATATACAGAAGAAAATACAAATATATATTCTCATTCCCCTTTTCCACACAAATGGTAGCACAATAAACGCACTGTCCTGCACTTTGCTTTCTTTGCTTAACTATGTATCTTAGAGATTTTTTTTTTACATATCAGGAAAGAACATCCTTATTCTTTAAAAAAAAATTTTTTAACCAGCTACATAGCAGTGTATGAATATATCAAAATTTATTAGGCCAATCCCCTCAAGATGGATATTTAACTTGCTTCCAACTTTTTGCCACTACCAACACTGCTGCAATGAATGCCCTCTATAAGTTATTTCACGTGTGTGGGGCCATATTTGTAGGATAAATTCCCTGAAGTAAAATCGCTGGGTCAAAGTATACATGCATTTGAAATCCTGATACATATTGCCCAACTGCCCTCCCTATGGTGTACCAGTTTAGACTCAGCAACGTAGGAGAGTGCTTATTTCAACAAGCCCTTGTCAACACAGTAAGCTATGAAATGCTTGGATTTTCACCAATCTAATAGATGAAATATGGGATCTCAGTGTAATTTTAACTTCTATTTCTCTTATTATTAGGAAAGATGAGAATTTTTTCTATGAACTAAGTATTCATATCTTTTGCCATTTTTCTATTTGGCTTATGGTACTTTGTTTTAGTTTCTAGGTATAATTACCACACTAACTAATTAATTTAAAAAGCAGTGAATGCCAGCTATGTACTAGGTGCCAGTCAGATAAGACAGATAAGGTCTCTGCTCTCATGAACTGATTTCAAGGAGGGGGAGGCAGACAATAAACGAGATCATTACAGAGTGGGATAGTACTATAACAGGGTGATGTGATGAAGAATACATGAGATGGGACTACTTTTAGATAATGTGGCCAGAGAATATCCTTCTGAGGAAATGACATTTAAGCTGAGACCTGAAGGATGAAAAGATGTGAAAGGCCTATTGTACAGTAAAGGAATAACTCAGCAGGTCAGGAGTGTCCAAACCCTGTAGATGCCAAAGAAAGATGTGCCCTGCTTCCTGAAAGATAACCTCTAAGCCCTCGGAATATCCTGCCTGTTAAGAGTTTTTCTGTTT